GCATGGATGCATGGATGCATGGATGCATGGATGCATGGATGCATGGATGCATGGATGCATTCCGGCAGGAATCTTATCTGGGTTACATTGCTGGGCAGCGCACGTCACCCGTGCATCCCAAATATGTCAGGGTGGCTGGATGGCAAGTTTGTTGAAGGATGGATGAATTGGTGGCTAGATGGATCAATGGGTCGAAAGGTACACGTATGGATAGATAGATAGATGTGTGCTATCATGAATTGGTGGATATATGAAATATTTATATTATGTTATTTCTACTAACGTCATATGCCAGTTTAATGCCACCGTTGTCTGCGATATTTTCGTTCAACGTCATATTTCCATTTGCCTATAAACATAGAAATGAAGTAAGACAGGCAATTTAAAGTAGAAATTCAAATGTATATATGCATGAATTCTGCAGATAAAATGTATATATGCTGATCTCGATTTTATTTCTGTAACATTTGCAGCAACGCTGCTCGTCTTGAGCATAAGTTGAATCGTGAAAACTTACATATTTATCAAATATTTTATACTTGTTGTACTGTTTGACAAAACACTTTGATTTGGAAAGGAAGGCTTCTGCAGAAGTATTTGACCACCAATTTTTACAATCGCCATTCTTGTCATACAAACGACCTAGAAATAATGAAATGATGTTTTGTGACATGGATGCTTGCATAGAGGACTTGGTATCATACTTATTACTTTTCTGATCTTACCTGTTCCATCGAAAGCATGTGTGATTTCATGGCCAATAACCACACCTATACCACCATAATTGATGGACCTAACAAAATAGACATTTTGAGAAGTTTCCGCGCGATTTGAGAAGAGCGGAGTTTATAAAAAGCCCACTAAACGGCCTCAAATTGCGCCAAAACTTCGCCAGAAGAGTAAACAATGTCAAGAAAATAAATAAGAAAATTAGCAGTAGCAGTAGCAGTAGCAGTAGCAGTAGCAGTAGCAGTAGCAGTAGCAGTAGCAGTAGCAGTAGCAGTAGCAGTAGCAGTAGCCGAATA